GTAGCTCCAGCCTCTCACATCTCACTCATTTCACCACCTTTCTCTTCAGTGTGGTGAATCGGTCTAACACCCACCTGCCTTTCTCCTTCTCTTCCTGCCACCTTTCTCTGCTCTCCCCCCTCCGACCTTTTCTCCTTCTCTCCTCTGCTCGCGTGCGCGTTCTCACTTTACTCCCTACGCACTTCTCCGCTCTCGACCTGCTCTGTCATCGGGCTTAAAATCGTGCGCGCGCAAGTGCGCGATTTATCTCGTTTCTCGTCCTCCCCGGTTCTCCTTCCTCTTCCTGGACCCGTTTCTTTTGTCTCTTTCGTCGTTCCGACGAAGGCCTTTCTCCTTCCTCGTCGGTGCGCCATTTCCCTATCTCTGTCCTCCCTTCTCTCCTTCTGTCTTCCTCAGCCTTTCTCCTTACATTCCCTCCTTTGATCCTTCTCTTCGTCCCTTTTCTCCTGTCTCTTCCCGTGCGCTTTCTGCCTTCTCCTTCCTCCGCTCATTCTCCTTCTCTTCCTCCTTCTCTCCTCTCTTTTTCTCTCGGGCGCCCCTCAGCGTCCCTCCGCTCTCCCTCATGTCGTCTTTCGGTATCCCTTCTATCCACTCTTGCCCCTCTTTCTTCTATTATATCTCGTGTCCCTTCTATTCGTTCTATCTAGCTATCTAATCTCGCATATCGCCAGCCTCTATCTCTTCTCTTCCTATCCCCTCTCCCCTTGGTCTTTCGTGTATTTTCGCCATCTCCAGCCGCGCCGTGTTCTCGCGTGCAGTGCCTCCCCTCCCCGCTCTCTCTCTCTCTGCAGCGGAACTCTCTCGATAGCCATCTCAAACACAACCCCTCACTGATTGTTTCGCCGGCCTGGAACGGTCGATAGACACGGCTAAGCGGGCAAAGGTAGAATAATCTCGATTCTCTCTGTCACACGGGATCGATGCACGTGGGATGCACGGCTATCTCTCTAAGTGCAAATTTAGAATTCATACATAAACGGCTGAAAAATGCGTCGTCGTCGCCCGTTGTCGTGGCTGTATGCTTGCTTTGTGATTGATGTGTGATTTCTCCGTACTTGCTGTATGCTTGCTGTATGTTTGCTGTATGCTTGATGTATGCTTGCTGTATGCTTGATGTATGCTTGATATATGCTTGCTGTGTGCTTGCTGTGTGCTTGATGTATGCTTGTTGTATGCTTGATGTATGATTGCAGTGTGCTCAATGTATGCTTATTGTATCCTTGCTGTATGCTTGATATATGCTTGATGTATGCTTGTTGTATGCTTGTTGTATGCTTGCTGTATGTTTGCTGTATGCTTGCTGTATGCTTGCTGTATGCTTGATGTATGTTTGCTGTATGCTTGCTGTATCCTTGCTGTATGCTTGCTGTATGCTTGCTGTATGCTTGATGTATGTTTGCTGTATGCTTGCTGTATGCTTGCTGTATGCTTGCTGTATGCTTGATGTATGCTTGATGTATGCTTGCTGTATGCTTGCTGCAAGCAGTAAGCCTGTATGCTACTTGCCACACGGAGACGGAATAGTAGGAGGCGATGTCAGACTCCGCAGCAGGAGCTATCTATAGCCCGGAGACAGCTTGTCACCCTGTCACACAGCAAGCGTGAGATAACTTGTCGTGTAGTCGCTGCTACTAAATTTAGCGTACATCCTATTCGACTTACATTTGGACTGACTGGTAATTTATCCGACTAAAATTAGATTGGACGTAAATTCTAAATTCTACATAACCTATTTCAAAAATAAGTCGACTTAATTCGCGCGTGTGACAACTCCTATTGTCATTACCGAACGACATATGAATACGTCTGCATATATATAACTTAGCCTGCGCGTCAGCAATGGCTGTGTAGATACCTTGTTACTGCATCCGCAAATACCCAGCATGTTAATTATGAATGATAATTAAGCCATAATGCTTTCTCAAGGATCTACCATGATGCTACAGGCAGCATGCTTCCCCGCAGGATCTACCATGATGCTACAGGCAGCATGCTTCCCCGCAGGATCTACCATGATGCTACAGTCACCATGCTTCCCCGCAGGATCTACCATGATGCTACAGGCAGCATGCTTCCCCGCAGGATCTACCATGATGCTACAGGCAGCATGCTTCCCCGCAGGATCTACCATGATGCTACAGTCACCATGCTTCCCCGCAGGATCTACCATGATGCTACAGTCACCATGCTTCCACACAGGATCTACCACGATGCTATAGTCACCATGCTTCCACACAGGATCTACCATGATGCTACAGTCACCATGCTTCCCCGCAGGATCTACCATGATGCTACAGTCACCATGCTTCCCCGCAGGATCTACCATGATGCTACAGTCACCATGCTTCCACACAGGATCTACCATGATGCTACAGTCACCATGCTTCCCCGCAGGATCTACCATGATGCTACAGTCTCCATGCTTCCACACAGGATCTACCATGATGCTACAGTCACCATGCTTCCACACAGGATCTACCATGATGATACAGTCCCCATGCTTCCCCAAGGACAGACCAAGATCGATGCTGCGACGATAACTGACAGCCAAATAACATGTTTTTTCCTGACCATCTCAGCTATATATTATATATTCATATTTGCCATCAGCGAAGAATCAATAAATGCTCTCGTAATATTCATCTAGAATATATTCCGCTCCATCACGCTTGAACCACTCCCTCCTTTACTGCCGTAAATCAACAGTTGCTGCGCTAATCACAGAACATGTGGCCGAATATATTTTCCTCGACCGACGAAAATCAACAAACTAATTCTCCTTCACATTTGCGCGAGTCGAGAATCAACAAATGCGCCGCGTATTGGCTTCGAACGCTTCGCAAATATGTAATGCGTTTCGTATTGGTTCGACGCGGCTGCAAACGCTCCTTAGTTCGCATGCAATCGTTACTTGTGGCAGTTATCGTACAGTGGTGTTTGCTGCTGGTACACGTCTCTGCCATCCCGAGAGCTTGCTCCATCATTATCGCATACTCCCGCGACATACCCACATCACCCACGCACGTACGGAAGAGACACAGAGTCCACAAGGATGCAGGTTGAGCTGCGACATACCCACATCACCCACGCGCGTACGGAAGAGACACAGAGTCCACAAGTATGCATGTTGCGCAGCAACATACCCACATCACNATCCCCTGTGTTCTATATGAAGACATGCAGGCAGCATGGAAACCTGCGGGCTGGGGCTACCTCACCCGCAGCCATCCCCTGTGTTCTATATGAAGACATGCAGGCAGCATGGAAACCTGCGGGCTGGGGCTACCTCACCCGCAGCCATCCCCTGTGTTCTATATGAAGACATGCAGGCAGCATGGAAACCTGCGGGCTGGGGCTACCTCACCCGCAGCACCCCCTGTGTTCTATATGAAGACATGCAGGCAGTATGGAAACCTGCGGGCTGGGGCTACCTCACCCGCAGCCCCCCCCCCCTGTGTTCTATATGAAGACATGCAGGCAGCATGGAAACCTGCGGGCTGGGGCTACCTCACCCGCATCACCCCCTGTGTTCTATATAAAGACATGCAGGCAGCATGGAAACCATGGCTACCTCACCCGCAGCATCCCCTGTGTTCGATATAAAGACATGAAGCCAGTCAGATCTTGGCAATCAAGGCCGAGCAACGTGCGTCAAACCAGCCTAATTTGGCGCTGTCCGGGCATAGCCAGGAAATTCAATACGTTTCCTCTTTCTGAATAAGCCGGACTCTCATTCAGCCGCAGAAGCAGGAGTTCATCCGATCGTACGAGCACGAAGAATAGGAGCCCGGACGCACGCAGTAAGTGGTCAGCAGTTGGACACGTGCCAGAAATCTCGCCAGCCTCTTTTGCTCGGCAGCAGCAGCAGCAGCAGCAGCAGCAAAACCACCACCAATAGCCATCGTAACAGCAGCAGCAGTAGCAGTAGTAGCAGCAGCAATAGCAGCAGTAGCAGCAGCAGTAGCAGCAGCAGCAGCAGCAGCAGTAACAGCAGCAGACGTAGCATCATCATCATCATCATCATCATCATCAGCAGCAGCAGCAGCAGCAGTAGTAGTAGTAGTAGCAGCAGCAGCAGCAGTAACGGCACAAGTAGCATCATCATCATCATCATCAGCAGCAGCAGCAGCAGCATCATCATTATCATCATCATCATCATCATCATCATCATCATCATCATCATCATCATCATCATCATCATCAGCAGCAGCAGCCATGGTGAAGCCATATGCGACGTGACACTTTGATGACGGCGCGTGCAGCTGTGCACACAGCGGGTGTCGCATTCCCTAACGCGGTGACAACGACCACATCCATCGCCCACGTGCTCCCGAGACTGTTCTTATCTCCCGTGTAGAAGCGTATTAGCACGTATATAGCGGATGGCAATATAAAACAGAGTGAGAACGTGCAGATAGAACAACGTTAGAAGCATATGACCGAAGTTGCGTTATATGACGTTTTCGTAATCAAGCGTGCTAATATAATTTATATAACCGACGCGTGGCGTATTTCAGCCGTGGAAAATTATAGCGTAGAGATCTCGCGCGCGCTGAAAACTGGCCACACACACGAAGCGAAAACACTGACGGAGCACGAAGTGACTCACGCGAGCACGTGAGATAGGGAAACACTGCTGCTAGCACACGCATCCCATGTACCGATACATCTCAGAGAATGTAGTAGGATAATATCAGGAGTTAAAGTGATTACGTCACCGAAAAATATTCACAAAATATAAGTAATTCTGTTCACTTTTTATGGTTAAATTGCTGCATTATACCTACTTCCTATTTTACTATATTGTTCGATGTGAACATACACTCGTGACTCATACATAGCCCATAGCAAGCAATTAATGTCAGGAACACAAATTCAAATCGTCCAGGTTTTTTGGATTTTTAACTAGTTGAGAAACAATCTTATCAGGTAAGAATTTGACGATACGTTTAGTCCCGCTAGTTCTTACTTTTAATGTAAAAAAAAATGGCAACAAAATTTTTACAAATTTTACCATAGAAAATTCGTGACGTAGTCAATGTAATAAAGACAATTGTCCTTTATTAACTCCTGATAATATCAAGGTATTATTAGCTCTTGATAATGTATACGGCGGATAAAGAAGGCCTTCTTAATACGCTCTTGGTAATATATACTGCGGATATGGGAGGTCGCAACGGTAACTACCCAAGTAGCGTTTCTCACTTGATCGATATATAGATGTCATAACTTACAGCGATTTGCTCTCGCGTTAATGCGATATATTGAATAGGGCCTCGGTGGGTCTAATAGCTGCCGAGTAGAAAGTCACTCGCATAATTACGGCTGAGAAATAATTGCGTCGACAGTTGCCGAGGTAACAACAGGTTTTTAAATGCGCAATCAAAGATTACTAACTCGATGGGGCGCATAACAGATGTCGACGAAGACATGCAGGCAGTATGGAATGAACCATAGGTTTAAGACGCACTGTTCTAGGGGAACTACTTATTCAATCTGCCAATAGTTATAATTTTGCTAATTTCTTTATAATGAAACAATTGCTTCCTTAATCACATATATCTAAGAGCCAATTAATACAATACATTGTGTCATACCCCAGGCCTTGTGCATATATCGTATCGTTTTGACAATGTCCCGGTATGTCTCATCATGGCAACTATACCTATGTTATCACTTGATATAGTAAATTTTTCGTCGTGTTATTTTGTTTCTATTGTGCGGGAAATAATCATTTTCTCTCTGTCGTCTATTGCTAGGAAATGAATCCGTTCACTTGATATTTGGTATGTTTTGTCATGTCTATTGTAGGAAATAAATCCTTCATTGTATAAATTGTAGGTTTTGTTATGGTCTAGCGTAGAAATAATCCTTCATTCTATTAGTTAAGATTTGTGATTGGTAATACTGCAATCACTAGCGACCTCGATTCGGCTGTTGCGGCCCGGTTTACTATTCCACAGAGGATTGCTGGGTCCGATAGTGCAGAACTCTCTTTCACACTCTACATGCAAAAACAGCCACCACGTAGCTGCCGCCAGAGAAACACGCAAAAAGGACAAATTCTTTAACAGGAAGTCGCAATTAATAATCAATTAAAGCTTGATTGATGAATATTCCCCGGTCTTTGGTTAAGTTAGTTTTCTTTCTGCTGAGAGCGAGTTTATTTGCCATGAACCCGAATCATCATTACATCATCTATTCACTCGCCACTCTATCACCCTATCAGCCACTACGCAGCTGGCACGTAGTGAGTGCTGCGTCGCGCCGTGAACCGTGAACTATAGAAGTCCGCGCGGTGGGTCATCGCATCGTAGGTGTGGCAGTGTTACCCGGTATGTGTATGGCACACACCCGTGTACTACCACCTTTTGAAAAAGCAAGATGTGCGTTACACTTTTATGCCGTGTACATTGGCCGACAGTTTACCGTTGACGTTATCAGCTCAGCGGCTACATGAAAAAATATTTTCCACTTATTGTGGAGAAATTATAGAAAACTTCGGCCACATACGTTAGGGGGACCCCAGACGGGCGGTCACTTTTTCGATTGCGGAACCCCACCCACACCTCCTGAAAAACGCCCCCTGACGTGGCGCCATCTTGTCCAAATTTCGATCAATTGGCCGCAGGCTGGATATACTTTTTTGGCCTATATCTTCAAAAGCCTAAGGATGATAGAAAATGCTAATTTTAGTTGGCTAACCCCAATTTTTAAGGGTCAAAGGAATTCAGTGAAACCATTATCTGATGAACATCAGTTGCTCCGCCATATTTGCTGATTTCCAACGCTGGCGCTCACTTATAACATCAATTGGACTATAAACTTTGGAACTTAACAGGAAACCGATAGAAAAATGTAGTTTCAGTACGCTAACCCCCCGTTCCTCCTCACGGAGTCCAAGCAATTCAGTGCAACCAGTATCTATATGATGTCAGATGTCCCGCCCATATTAGCATCTCCAAGATGGCCGCTATGATACATAATTGAACTCTGATATGAACTTTGGGAACTAAAGAAGATAGAAAATGTAGTTTCAGTAGCTCAACCCCCCGTTTTCAGGGGTCAAGGAATTTAGTTGGAACCGATTATTAATGAACGTCAGAGTTCCGCCATATTTATGATTCCAAGATTGGCTCGCTATGGATAAACATAACTTGACTATACAACTTCGGAAACTACAGGCAGATAGCCCGAACGGCAATCTCCAGTGGGCTACCCGCAATTTAGGCGTCGAGAAAACCAACAAATCCAAGTATTAAGTAATCATCTAGGATTCTGCCTCATTGGATTTCCAAAAATGGCTGCCCATACCTACACAATGCAAACAGTTTACTGCTATAAACTTGTCATGATAACATTATCAAGTTGAAGAGCAATGCTGAGTTAAGTGAATGGTGAGAAATTAATGCGCTGTAGTGGAGGAGTTTCATAGCATGTGTTGAGGGCGATGAGGCCGGAGTGCGAGAGAGAAGCTTGGGG